ATATTGAATAATGATAAAGATGCTGTACATATACTTTCTAGAAACTCAAGGTGTGAAAATAAAATGTATTTTTATTCCACTACTTTTTTAAGAATAGCGTATTAATAGTTACACAGTTATTTCATTTATTTTTAAATCATAGTTCTTGTTTTCATGCTATGTGTATATTAAGATATAGTAAAAATATAAAGATAAACTTTTTATTATATTTTAATCAAAAATGTCCCTTATTATTAATTACATTTTACATATATCATTTTTTTTATTACGCGTGGTATATAAATCTGATTTATTATTGCTGAGACTCGATAGGGTTACATCCAACTTGATTGAATAATCTGTCTTTAATTATTTGTGCCATTAATCCGTGAATAATTTCAATAGTAGTCTTACAACTATCTCTCGTTGCTTTCATCAACTTTTCTACGGTACTGCGATCATGGGGATCCGTTCCACCCAAGATAAATCCTCTTCCGAGTGCAACCTCCGACTGTTCAAGTTTATCCGACAAATCGAATATTTGTCCAGTAGTGTAATCAGCATTTGTAAGAAGACTAGACGAGCTTAATGTATTCACCCAATATTTATTCCATAAAGAATCTAGCAATCTTCTATCTAACGACGATTTGAAATAAGAAACTTCCAAAGAATAGTACTGTTTGCAATGAACACCAAAATCTTCAATCTTGTTCAATGGTATTGTTTGATATTCCGATGGTTCTTCGTTCGCTGGTTTATAGCCCTTTTTATACCAAATAAACCCTTTTTATCGTTTATTTCTTTTATATATAGTATAAATACTAGGAAATACGTATTACCTTTGGATAAGTTCTAAACGCACCCAAGCAAACTTTGCCGGCAGATATCGTTCTGACAGGATCAATTACAATAGCAACAAACGGTTCTTGAAAATTTTGATTGAGCATTTGAGTAGATACATCAATACCCGATAACCAGCATCCATAACCAGGATGACTATGGTACCATCCAATAGCATTTTCTTGTCTTCCGACCTTAATAAAGAAGGCAATAAATATACTATGAGTAATTGTTAAATATAAATATTAATTATTATTTATTATTTAATATTTCATAGTTAAATAATTCCAATAGTTGTAATAATTAAAATAACTATAATAATTAAAATGTACTTGTTTAGCTGCTTCTATATATGCTGTCATATATTCATATGCTTGTGCTTGTGCGTTAACTCTTGTTTCTGTGCCTTCTACAGGCAATGCAAAAGAATCCATAACAATCATTGTATTCGCTGCAACTTTTCCAAGCAGAAGGCCCATTACTTCTAAAGTTCCTCCAGAACGAGCATGCATAACCATCTTTAATAATGCTAATGCAGAGATTTTTATATCTTTAAAAAAATGAGGGCTGAAACATAACCGATACGATCACTTGAAAAAATGAGAATCACATATTTTAGTATTGACATAAATATTTAAAAAATAATGTACTCTTTCTCCCATGGTTTTGCTGCTAATATATCTTGTTGTTCTTTACGATCATATCTATAGATCTCATCAACAGTGCTAATTGTTTCAATATTATTTGACATTTCCCATGTTTTTTTAGCAATAGTGCTTTGATCAGAAGAAGTGCTTGCCATGTTTAACTCCAGATCTCAAGTTCTAAAGCAAATAAAAACAGTTTTAACTTAATTTTATCAATATTATATTTTGACAATGTTATTTCTTGATATTATGATTTCAATATATAAATATATTACTATTTAATGTAGATAAGATTTTTTCAGTTGTAGTCAATGACGTGATTTGAATTACAAAAAAAAAAATAAATAAATTATTCTACTGATTATACGTTAAATTGGATATTGAACATTTTAGTAATTAAATACCAAATCACTAAACAAATCTGTTCACATAATTCAAATTTTTGAATTTATTCTCTGAATGTTTAATATAAACACATATTATTTGAATTACTGTCCGATACAAAAATTAAAAACAATTAAGAATCATACTTTTGTCACTATACTAATGATAGACTACCACTGTGTTTTTTAATGCATCTATAGCGACAGCTACCCCAGCGACATCTGTCTCAAAAAAAGTTCGAAGAGTCCATTGGAGATAAAGTGAATCGACGCGTCGTCTTGTATGTGAATCCTAATCTCGATCCATCGTTTCGTTAATTGTTACAATAAAATTAATAGTAAAGCAATCGCCTTTCGCTTATTCTTTCCCGAATTAGTGCGGATTGCATTTTTCCTTTTGTAGTACGGTGAATTGTTAGTATTACCGACCATCGTACCTACACATCACATATTATTAACGCCATCTATCAGTAAATTTTCTGTTATTTTCTCGCGGCAAGTATTAATTGAATATTGTAAATTATTTGCAATATCTAGTATCGTAATTTATACGTAATCTAATGCAATTTTTTTCTATTTCTATCAAGGGAAGATTTAATTGTCGTATCTTAACCTATCCTGATTTTTTTGTCACTAATGATATTTGCTTTTATAAAAAATACTTTATGGAAAATACTTATACCGAAAGGTTCGATTAACTGTGTTTATAAAAGAAATGAAAAGAAAAAGAAAAAAATATCTCGAAGAATGTACAAAGAATTTTGTTTCACGAAAAAAATAGCAGTTAATTCAATATGAACGTTGTGCGCAACATTTTACAAAAGTTGTTCCTAGCTATTACGTGCCATCTTTTATACGATATTTTTAAGATTAAATAAAAAATTCGTAGGATTATAAATTAAGAATAGTAAATGCTTTATTTGTACATTGTAGAATACAGTCTTTTTATCAAGTCCTAATAGATAAAGTTCTAATAAATAAATAGCGGTATTATAAACGACTAATAGTTATTTTCATGGGCTTAGTATCAATTTAGTAAATACAATTAGTAGTCTTCTTCATCGTATCCATATCCAAAGTCATTTTCATCTTCCGATCCATGGTGTCCAAGCATTTCTCCAACAGTCATTTCTGTAGGATCAGCTTCGACATCCTCGTCGACATAATCATCAGTTTCATCTGTTTTGTAAAAAAAAAAGTATAAGCATTTTGATTAAGAATTTTATATAAACGAAGACTTGTGTAGCTCGTATACCCATATCTAACGAAGTATCCACTCTTGATAGTACAGATTCAGTCGTGTTAGTTTCTATTTCAACTGGCATTTGGACTTCTTCCTTTTTTCTTGGAGTCTGAGGTTTAGTTATGCGAGGTTTCTTTACTACTGGTGTATTTGGCTCGTCTCGAGTTTTCAATGAAACGCTGGATCTGTACAAGTTAGATTACATACGATATGTTTCTTTCGTAGAATAATCGTAATACACTGTTACATACTAACGTTTTACTAGAACTTGGCGAAATATTTATTTCTTTTTTCGGCGATTGAATCGGTTCTTCAATTTTTTGTTGTTCCTTGGTCGAATTATTTAAATTAACGTTTAAACTTTTTAATACTTCGTAATTAATTTTAGATGATATTTTTTTCTCCTGCAACATTTTTTCAATCGCTTCTCCTAATAATATTATAGAAAAATTAAACTAAATTAAATTAAATTTCAAAAATCGACGACAAGTTGATATTGTAAAATTTGTAAGAAACGTTATAATATTACCCGCGGTATTTGCAGGCGCTTGACTTTTATTACGTTTAGTAGTCCGCCGTCGTTTCTTTTCAGGTTTACCTTCTTCTTTCTCTTTCTGCCGTCTTTCTTCCTTTTCTTTTTGCTGAATTAAATATTCGGCATTTACTTTATTCCATAAATTGTGTTTAAATTGTGCTTCTTTTTCCGACATGATGTAACTATCTAACTCTTCGTCATCGAAATCAGCAACGTCGATCTCTCCAGAGTCCTAAAATAAAAAAATATTAATAAATAAATGACAACTGTTTTAAAATTAATTTTATTTACATTTTCAAAATTTGTGTTTACTGAGTCTTTCGTTTCGTTTTCACGATCGTTTGTCGATATCAATCCCATAGATGCGAAATTTGGACCTTTAAATAATTATATAATTTTTTAAAACAACTATGCAAATGTTATATAAAATTTTAACACAACGTGATGAAATTTTTAAGACTGTTTTAATTTCTACCTAATCCGGTAATTAATCGACCGTTTGTACTATTGTCTCCATGATTTTGAAGATCACTGTCAGGGTCGTCTACATCATTTCCAACATAATTTTTAATTACATCTAAATTGCTTTCTCTCACAAATCTATCTGTATCTTCTCTTTCCACAGAAGCAACTGAAAATTAATATATTTTAAATAATTTTTTTACGAAAGAAACAAAAGGCGATTAATTATAAAATAATTGATTGATTTTAATCGCTATTACAATTACCATCTTTGCGTTTTCTTGTTTTTCCTAATCTGTGTTCTTCCAATTGTTTGTCAATTTCAGCTTGTAATTCCTTTATTTCTGTATCTATATTTAGCTAAAAAAAATATGTATGTGTATTGTATTGCAAAGTAATGTACATCTATCACACGTACATGTATTGCGAGATAAAAAAAATTCTATACCCTTTGTAATCGTTCTTTGTCTTTTTTCCGTGCTGCTTTAAAAGCTGGAGGATCTTGTTCTTCCTCCAAATCGACTGTCATGAATTCTTCGAGAGTCAATGCGCTCGAAGGTGTATCACCAAATTCTATAAGCCTTTTAATTTAAAAATTTTAAATAAATATTAAAAGATATTTTATTCGAAGATTTTACCTTTTGCGCAATGTCGATTCATGCACTTTTACGATCTTGATAATATCCGCAGGCGACCTATTGAATTCGTGTAATCGAGCAGCCATCAATAAAGCTTTGAAAAGAAATAATATTTTTCAAGTATTAAATTTAAGATATTCATGGCAATTAATGTATAAATTACAAGCGAGACTTAAAAAATGTACAAATTAAAATGTAAATGTTGAAATAAATTATGAAGAAATTAATCTTTTTCCAATACCAGCGCCACATAATCCTGACGGCCTTCGTCCACTGTGAATACTATCTTTTTTCATTCTTTGAACTACTCGTAAAGCCGTCATTGATACTTCGTGAGTTTTTTCACCAAACTCCAGTTTATTTGCAAATCTCATGATGTATAAACATGGATCTATAAAAAAATATATCAATTATGTACAAAATTCATCGCATATTAACAAATTCATATTAACGTAATAGTTATAATTAATAATTAATTAATTTATAATTTATAATACTTGTTTATATTAACATAATTATTTATATTAACATACTTGTAAGAATTTTGTTCTTATAACGTATTATACATTTTTTTGTTACTTTTATTAAAACGTAGAAAGTATGGTAGCAAAAAGAATAAAAATATGATAGTTGTATCATTTTTTATTTAATTTACTAAATTTATTTTATTAAAAATTCATGCTTTACATTTATATCGTACGTTATTGCCTGTAAGTAGATATCACTTGTGAATACATATATGTATATGGGCATTGCTTGTGCAATTAGTTGCAGCAGCATAATAAAGAAAATTGTTAACTTTTGAAGATTATTTCTGTCGAATGGATAATATATTATGCGACATACAATTTACGTAATGTGAAATTTATTTGTGTTTCTGGATTTTGGTAATACAATCGTTAACGACAGATTTCCGATTCGAAAATTTATAAAATTATGAATGTTATGGATGTAGGTTATACAGGGACGTGTAGGGCATGTACGAATATTATATATTACATATTATGCGATTCTTTCTCTGGATCTGCAATTCGCTTTGAGCGGTTGAAATTGAAATATATAGTATATAGTAAAAGATTTATTAATTACTTACAATTTTTTCAAATTATACGAATAATTGATAAATCTATCATCGGATATAATATTCCAATTGAAAGAAGTAACTTTTCTCTCAAAACTGTTTTCTCATATCTCGCAACGTGCAGGTTACAACGTGAAATTTTCAGGTTTCGATTTTACTTTCTCAAAGTATATTTCGACGAGAAAAATAAATTTTAATATTCGTTAAAAATTTTGATGTTTATTATCGTTACATTTTGTCCAGTCGAAACAAATGAATTATTGTTAACAACTTTTTATCAAGTACTTTCTTATCGACTAACTATAATTTGAAACTAAACTCGGTCAATTAGGAAGGAAATGGTCTACGCCGTAAATTACGCGTGCTTCAGCGTGAAATGAATAAATTGATTTCTGAAGAACAATGATGATTGAACATCGAAACATTCTGACAGTCAAAATATATGCACAGAGCTACGCTCTGTGAAGATATAGATTTAAAAAAGAAATGGCAGGAACAACAATGACCAAGTTGGTACGACGGTGCTATGTTACTGCAAACAGGAAAGAAAAATTCTACATCAGGGTGAACACCCTGTATGCACGTGCTGCGCAGATCGAAGTTTGCGTTTTTGAGAACCACCAGATATATGAACGCGCGTGCCCTAAGTTGCCTATCGACCGATGTACGGAACTATCTAACCAGCGCCCGTCTGACATGGCGCCCATGTAACTGAAATCCAAAATCGTTCCGTGCTACAATTTTAGAAAAAAAAGACGGGCAATCAAGTTTGAAAAGTGACAATGGCTATGTCGAACCTTTACTCGAAAATATCAACGAAGCCGATGAAACGATTCCAGGACAACGTCACGGTCAAACAGACTAATCCATGGTTAAACGGTGAGAGACTATTACAGATATAAATAAACATAATATGCACCATTTAAATACTGTTCGCGCATTTATTGGACCGGATTGGACAAATAAGAATGGGAGAGAAATATTCCCTGTTTTCGTTCCATTTAACGATATTCGAGCAACGTTGCGTCTACTTCGCAATGTTTGTTTCTAGTTCGAAAAATATAACGATATTTCGATAACAATTTGAAACGTAAAACGTCTTATTCGAAGATTCATTCGTCAGATGTAATTTCGATTAATTGGAAAATTACGAATGACACGCGAACTAGCAAATGTAATATTTTGCAAAGTAATACACGAACGCAAAACTACGTGCTGTACGAAACTTTGAATATTGTAATACAAAGTATTGGTACAAATTGAATTTTATAAATTTTCGTTTAAACCTTATTTTTATATAAATATTTTTAACACGACAAATTGTCGAATTAGAAGATGTGTAAAAGATAACTTCTCAAAATGCATTTGTGCATTCGTATCTTGAACATTTAATTTTGGCCACTTGTTTTCATATTACACGCACAAAGTTAAAAGACAGAAATGCAAAAATTTATAAATCAATAACGTAGCGTGTTACGTAACATTTATTAACTTGTACTTTAGTTTAAATCGATAGATACGTGTAATTTGAATTTCAAATTAATTATTTTCTGTGTTTCAAACAATTTTTATTGTTGTATCGTCGTAGAATATTTTTACCATCTTATATGATAAACAATATTTTCTGCAAGGGTTAATTTAATGAAAATTTGAAATCGCTTTTAACAAATGGAAATGTTGCGTTTATTTTACATACGTATCACGTGATCGCAAAACTCGAAACTGTACGAAACTGTACGAATGAAACCGGAACAAACCGAACCTAATATGCATTATTCGAAATCTTTGTACCTACTCACAGATGAGTTTTACTCAAGATGTTAGATGTTACGTGTATGCACATATGCGACGGATATGTATATAACAATATATATATATATATATATAATGTTTGAATATGAGAAGGACTCTTTAAAGTTACAGTGACAGCAAATATTTATTATGTTATAATAGAAGTAAAATTATTCAGAAAAGTGTGGAATAATGTATACTAACGGTAAAATTTTTAATGACTTTACGTTCGTTTTAATTGAACCGTTGCTAAAAGATGATAGATTACACAACATCTTGAAGCGATGGTAAATAACGAATATACAAAACAAACTTTGATTACCTGTGAGAGAAATAATCTAATTTAGAGATCTCGAGCTTTATTACACGTTATTACTTTCCATAACCTCTATTTACTTTGTTGATGAAACTATTCAAGTGGTAATATTAGGTTTTTTTATGTATTCTAGCTTGATGATATAATTGAATTATCCGAGAAAATAATGTATTAATTATATTGCTGATGAATTAGTGAAAATTAATATAGAATGGTGTTATTCGTAACTTTATCATTGGCACATGTTTAATCTTTGTTACATTTTTTATATGATAGTTAGTCTCTACTTTTAAATTTAATTTTCATACGACGAAGATTATGAGTTATTATATTTGAAAATATTTTAACTCTGTTAAATTCTTTTATAATATTTTGTGTGTTAACGATGAGCTAACGTTTAACACAATTTTGCATAGATATATTGTTTCGTTTTGATAAAAATACAAGTACGGAATAGAAAGGAATTTTAAAAGCTAAAATTTTGATATCATATATGTTTTAGCAGAATCGCCGATTCCTGTATCAGATTCACCGCCAACTGTAAGCCCGTTATCATCTTTCATTGTATTGCAACGTGAAGGAACGATAAATCAGCCAATTAGTGCACCTGCATCACCTTTGTCTTCCTTGTCATCTCCTTTAACACAATTGAATTTGTCATCACCCGAAGACTGTACGCAAGATCCTAATTGGCAAGCAACGAAACCTACAGTTCGTGAACGAAATGCTGCCATGTTTAACAATCATTTAATGGCTGATATTATATTTATCGTTGGTAGTCCAGGTAATCAATCGTAAAACCATTGAAATGTATACGCAATACTTTGACGAACGATAAAAATGATTCAGTATATAAGATATATTAAACAACAATATATGTGGTAATTGTTCGATATAGGTCACATACAAACTATACCGGCGCATAAATACGTTTTAGCTACTGGTAGTTCTGTATTTTATGCCATGTTTTATGGCGGACTAGCAGAGAATAAAAGAGATATAGAAGTACCAGATGTAGAGCCTGCTGCTTTTCTTGCTCTATTAAGGTAAATATAATTCTAACATCGTTAGCTTAAATTATTTACTGCTTATTCGCTACTTATTTGATTATTTTTTTCTCAGGTACATGTATTGCGATGAAGTACAATTAGAAGCTGATACGGTATTAGCAACCCTTTATGTTGCTAAAAAATATATAGTCCCTCATTTAGCAAGAGCATGTGTTAATTATTTAGAAACAAGTTTAACAGCAAAGAATGCATGTTTACTTTTAAGTCAGTCTCGTTTATTTGAAGAACCAGATCTTATGCAACGTTGCTGGGAAGTTATAGATGCTCAAGTAAGTTTAAACAAAGGAATGTTGAAGTCTCTTACTTTTAACGATAATTTAAATGTAACATTAAAGAGTAAATCAAACTCTTCGAATTGTTTGAACAACAAATTACACGATTCTGAACAGCAATTTATTCAAAGAATTACAAAAATTAATAATTATGGGAATGTAAAGAATAGACTGTCTGTAGTATCCCATTGCTTCAGCTTGTCAGAGAATAATTGTTGTTCTAAATTTAACAACAAAAGATTATCATTTTCATTATTTCGAACTAGAAGTGAACCTTATTTTCCAGATAATAAGTTAGAAATTGAAGTAACGCAAAATGTAACTTATGAAGATAATTTTATAGAGGAATACGAACATAATAGAAACGATTATAATAACTTTTCCAAAATAACATGTAACATTAGTCCAATAATTACTTAAAAAATTTATAACACTTATTCTGTACGTTAAAAAGTTTAAGATATAGAATTGCTTATCCCTTTTTTAATTAAATTAATTAAATATTTGAAAGACTGACAAAGAGGTGTAAAAATATATTTTTTAATTTGCAAATTAAAAAGTTTGCTTTTAATCAAAATTTGTTTGAAACTTCATTTAAAATATTTCATTGATTAATTAAAGATAGAATTAAGGAAGATATATAATAAACAATTTTATAAAGTATAAAAATAAAATGCTCCAACGAAATTTTTTTGTAACATTATATGCTATATCATGATTGTTTAATTAATTTTTTGCATACATATATAATCATTGTTCGTATTATTATTCGTAAAATAGTTAATTGTAACAAATTATATCATTAAATTAAACACTTTTTAAAAAATTATAAAATTAGTTTCTTCGCGAAAGTAGTATGTTTAGTATAAATATTTAAAATAGATTTTTAAAAATTTGTTTCTACTTTTAAACAATCTCTCATATCGTTTGCCAGAAACTTTTTTTTTCAAATATGACTAATATTTTCGAAAAATTGAGTTTAACTGAATTATTGAAACTAATTTCTTACATAATTTTTAATATTTTTTTATACTATATATCGATTATATGTAAAAAATTTCTTGGTATTTTTATGAAATTTTTAAAATTCTAAATGTTTTGATTTAAAAAGGAATAGATATATTTTTTGTCTCTTTTCGATATAATCAGCTGTACAAATTATTAATTAATTCCATCAAGGATAATCATTATTCAATTATCACTAATTTTTCACGAAATAAAGGTTGGTCAGTCCTATAGTAATGGTAATATACGAGTGGTTCGTATAATAAACATAAAATTAATGAAAATTAATCTCTAAGATATAAAATTTTTTAATCGAGTCAAAAAAGTTTATCAAAAAATAAAATATATCTTTTTTAAGTTTGTATATCATAAAATTTAATGTAACATAGGCAGAAATGGCGCTAAGATCAGATGGTTTTGTGGATATTGACATTCATACTCTTGAATCAGTGCTTTCTCGAGAAACATTAAACTGTAAAGAAATACATATATGGGATGCTGCATTAAGATGGGCTACTGCAGAATGTATTCGACAAGAACTTGAACCTTCATCGGCAAATCAAAGACGATCGTTAGGTAAATATTTAGATCAAAATTAAAAATCAAAGGTTAGTATTGTTCATGCTTTTTTCATTCTAGGATCTGCTTTGTATTTAATTAGACTTCCTGCCATGAATTTGGAAGAATTTGCCAATAGTGCTGCTCAGACTGGAATCTTAACGCAACAAGAAACAATTGACGTCTTTTTGCATTTCACTGCTAGTAATAAACCTCAACTTTGTTTTCCTATTAAACCTCGACAAGGTTTAAAAACTCAAGTAAGTACTATGAAACAAAATCATTTATATTTAATAGTTCTGTAATAGTTTATATATAAGATTAAAAGCTTGTACATGGAATAATAAAATCAAAATTTCAAATATTTTATTCGCAGGTTTGTCATAGGTTTCAGTCGTGTGCATATAGATCAAATCAGTGGCGTTACAGAGGCAGGTGTGATTCGATTCAATTTAGCGTTGACAAAAGAATATTTGTTGTTGGTTTTGGACTCTATGGAAGCTCATCCGGTGCTGCAGATTATAATGTTAGAATCGAACTGAAAAGATTGGGATGCGTTTTGTCTGAAAATAGTACGAAATTTTTTTCGGATGGTTCGAGTAGTACATTTCATGTATATTTTGAAAATCCAATTCAAATCGAACCAGAATGCTTTTATACAGCTAGTGTAATCTTGGATGGAGGCGAGTTAAGTTATTTTGGTCAAGAAGGCATGTCAGAGATAACAGTCGGTAATGTAAACTTTCAATTTCAATGCAGTTCAGAAAGTACGAATGGTACTGGTGTACAAGGAGGACAAATACCCGAATTAATTTTCTATGGACCACCAGTAGATGACTGATGGAAATTTATTACAGAAATAATGGTTTAACTGATGGTCTCTAAAAATTTGTACTTTAATACGTTCCAGATTTTGTATAATTGTTATTTTAAGTACTATTTTTAAATTGATGACAAATGTTGCGTAATAGATTCACTCTTAAATATTAAATATTTATATTTTAAATTATAATCATAATGAATAATTTACAGAAACAATTTTATTTATAAATTTATTATTATTGTTCTATCAACCAAATATAAAAATTCTTTTACGTTAATTCAAAGATTATGTTAAATTTTCAAATTAAACGTATTTCATAATAATCTCATAAAAATTTATTTTCGTAAAATTAGAGTCATGTATAGAGATACTCGTGTGAAATATTAAATAAAAAAACAGTATCAAATAGCAATTACGGAAACAAATATTTTATTATATTTAAATAAAAATTATTTCGTTATTTTAAACTAAAATTTTACATAAGAGTGTATCTATTGCCATTTCTAATGTACTCAGATATTTGCTTTTTGCTCCTTTTTTTTTTTTTTTTTTTTTTTTTTTTTAAATT